TCTCATTCCTAAGTCTCTTACACAACGAGATGACAAAACTGACCACTTCATTTTTATCTCTCAACAACTCAATCCACATGAATCGAGAAAAATCATCCACCACAACCAAAAGATACCTTTTACCACCAAGACTTTCGGTCCTCGATGGTCCCATAAGATCCATATGTAGCAATTCAAGAGACTTACTCATCAAAATCTTAGAAGTTTGTTTGTGGGGAACCTTAAGCTGTTTACCTTGTTGACACGGACCACAAACAGTGGTATCAGTAAAATCTATCTTAGGCAGGCCATTGACAATCTCCTTCTTGGCCAATTTTGACAAACTGGTATGATTCATATGACCCAGTCGTTGATGCCACAATTCAGTGACGTCAACCTTAGCACTACTACAGAGATAGTTAGAATTAGGTAAGACTCCGTAACAATTTTCTAACGTTCTTACACCTTCAAGGACAATGTTATCCGTCGAGTCATACACAGAACACCTTTTCTGAACAAAGGTCACCTCAAAACCAGCATCACAAATTTGACTGATGCTTCACAATCTTAGTGTCCTCATGGGTAGTCTCCAAAATATCTCAAACTTCCTTAACAGTCTCACATATAGATACTCTCCTAAATTCCTCAGGAGACACAGCCATAAACAAAGCATATAGTCCTTTACTATTCCAATTATACTCATTCAAGTTAGTTTTAGTCCATAAAGAAATATCAGTGAGTGTAACTACACCATCAGCAGTTGTTGAAGGTGGAGTCCACCGGTTTTGCATAGAAATCCATACACGTTCATCTAAAGCCTTAAGAAAAGCTCTCATACGCACTTTTCCATAAGCATAATTACTGTCATCAAAATATGGAGGCACAGATAACGAACTACTCATCTAGACAATCAAAATATGGGCCAGGACATGAGATTAGGCTCTGACACCAATTGAGAAACGAGAGATTCGATCCAACTATACCTAGAGGGGGGTGATTAGGTGTAAATGCGAAATTATCAATCTAATTAACTAGCAACATATAACAAGTTAATTATGTCTAGATGATTAGTCAAACAATCCAATTTAGC